GGTTTTTTTTTTTTTTTTTTTTTTTTTTTTGAGATTAGATTTAAGAAAGAAAGAAAAAGAGAGGCCTTCCCTCATAAAAGCAGAGAGATTTGATTGAAGGAGGCGGCCAGACCAAGAGAAGTTCTTATAAACTAGGTATAGGATTTTGTCTTGACTCAGTAGAAATGACAGCACTATTACAACTTCTTGAGTAAGGGAGTAATGAAAAATAATGAACATTCAGGGAGGACGAAGCATTACATCTTCCCATTCAGTTAGTGTTTGGATTTCCTCCACAGTGTCTTTCCCAGGTGGTCATCACCTGGCTTGAACATGGGCAAGAACACAGACCACAAATACATTCAAAGTCAGCCATTTTCTCTTTGAGACTTTTCCATTTGTGAGAATTCATGTTTGTTTCTTATGATTGAGCCTAACAACTCACAACCACCAGTCTCGATTCGAACCTCAGAAACCATACAGACACCACCTAGCTCTCTTCCACTTTGAAAAGACCCTCAAATATTCTGAACCCTGTTGACTCCTTTGGGACTGCTATTCCCCCAGAAAAACATCCCCAGTCCTTTCAACTCTACCTTAAATAAATGATTTTGAAGTACTATGCTTTGCTACCTTGAAGATTCTCTTCCAAACTGTCTCTAATTTGTCTAAGTCCCTCCTAGGGTTGGACACTGAGATCTGAACATATATGTGAGGTGTGATAAGATTAAACAGTCAGGAGAAAGAGGATCTTCTCATGGCATTTGTCAACAAAGGTAAACTATGATTGCATTTGTCTTCCTATCACAAAATGACAATATAGTTTAAAACCTGAAGTCTTTCACACTTGCTACTGTTAAGAATTATCATCCCATATCGACAATTTTGGAACACAAAGACAGAACCATGAATACATTTGCCCCAACTAAGTTTTTTTTAAGGTCTGACCAACCAGATTTTACCAGTCATGTCTCGGATGTCATCTGCAAATTCAACTAGTAAATAAGCCTTCCACATTCTCATCCAAATGACTGAGAAATATGTTGAAATTTCCATAGAATCTTCCATGAACCAATCATGTATCCTTTGCATAACTAATTTTAAATCCTCCTGCAATTCACCTGTCATCTTGTCTGCAAAACTCTCAGGAGGCTTTCATAAGTGGATTGCTTAAATTCACAGGATGATAGCAATTACTGTTCATTGCATTTTCTGTGTGCTGGGTATGGTTCTGAGTGCTCTCTATTGTGGCCTCTACATATAATCCTTCCAACAACATTCTAAGGTAGGCACTGTCATTTTCCTCAAACTATACAGCCATAAAAGTAGTCTGGTAGTTTGCCCTGCGTCTCGCTACTAGTAAAGAGGAGAGAATTCTGTCACTGGAGATCTGGCTCCAGAGCCTGTGAGCTTCCCATGACACTCCTATATTGAGCAACCAGATCTTAACTGTTCTGATATTCTAGGAGATGAGATTGGTCTTCCATGGCTTGTCCTTAGGGAACCCATGCTCCCAGTGATTACCTCTTCCTTTTATAAGGGTCCAAACACAACTTTTTGAATAAGCCATTTAGTCATTGTAGAGTCTCATCCAAGACCAATGCACTGATTACAAAATTCACAGTCCTTACCCTTAAAAAACTAAAAGTCAGATTTGCAGTTGCCAATCTCCTGGCTTCCAGCTCCTCTCCCACTACAGCCACCCCTGAAAGCTGCTGTGACAGGGACACAAAGGCGAGGAGTGATCACCGGAGCCAATGGCTCAGGCATCTAACTCTGAAGACCTTTTACAAAGATTTGTGTCGTTGGTTTTTTGTTTTGTTTTTTTTTAAATCAATTCTTCTCTTCTTTCTAAAGATCATTCTTGACAGATTTAAGAACCGAGTTGTGAGTTTGTCGGTTTCCTTTTCTCTGTCATATTTGTTTATTTAAAACCTCAACCTTTTTTCTAAAAATAAATTAAGGTATCTCTGTCATCTGTTGTCATTACACTATTCATCCATAATGACAGGGCTGTCTTTCCTTTTTTTCCTTCCCTTTGCTCTAAAACTAACATGAAAATTGCTTTCGTTGTTGTTGTTATTCTTAGCATTATTCACAGGCTTCAGCCCATTCTGAATCTCAGTTTTCTTGGTACAATTTTTATAGCTACATGCCACTTTTATGTTTATCTCTAGAAATATATTTTTTCCTTCGTATTTTGCATATTTTTAAAATTCTGAATGTGATCGATCACTTATAATTGTCCTGTGATAATTTAGGGGGATTTAGGGCAACCCACACCTCTTAAACTTTCTTCCATTTAGAATCCCAGGTCATATGATCAAACCTATATTTTTTTTACAGACTCATACTGACATTTTCCTTTTTAAAATGCTCACCAATCTTATGACTGGATATTGTGTCAGTCATTTCTTCACAAGATTGCTATTGTATTTAATCTATATTTTTTCTGTTGTTGATCATGACTTAACCCAGAGTACCAATGACATTTTTTATACTACAGAGCTTCTAAGAGTAGAAATGGTCAATAGGTGGAGATTGTTCAAATTCTCTACTTTTTTGCTGAACAAGATCTTCCAGCATATATGTAAGCACTTGAAGTCCTTTGTTGCTCCTTTATCAACTCTCTGCTAGATCTATTTATTAGCTATGTCAGAAAGTCTTCTTGTGCCCTAATCTGTCCTGGCTTGCTGGAGTATATTGTTCCTCATTCCTGTGCCAAAGATGCTAGAGACTAACTTTATGACCTCAATTGTCCATATACAGGGTTAAAGTTCATGGATAATAATTGATCTTGAGATGTTACGATAAATAAACAAACAAAAGATTCTTGGAGAAGATTTGGTGGAATTAATCACATAAATCCTCTGTGCCATTTTTATGGCATTTCTGATGTGTCCCATGATATCCCACAACAATAAACCATAACAAAACATCTTAGACATTCTCTTCCCCTCTGAAACATTTCTGGTTTCAGTTTGGTGTCCTCTTAATACATTCTCTAAGTTCCTCTGGTCAAGCCATGCTTCCTAGTTTGGTGACGCATATTACATCCCTTGTCATTTCTGTAGCTGTAAGTCTGTGATTCTGTACCTAAAGCAGATATCATTGCTTGTTGTTATGAAAAGGCAATGTGGCCAAGCGTTAAAGAATTAAGATTCCAGAATCAGGCAACCTCATCCTGAGTCCTGCATCTACAACTTAACTTGTATTTGGGCAAGTTATGTATCTTCCCATGATGTATTTTTGCAATAATAATAGAAAGGTAACAATAAGTAAGGATATTATTAGGAAAAAATAAGAAAAACTGTGTAAAAAATTTAGCAAAGTCAATAAATTCTAGTGACCTTCAGAAAGAACAGCCTCTTTTAATCAAAAACAAATATTTTTACATGATTTCTTAATAATGTTTAATAATAGTCACAATAAGCCAGAAGAGTTAATATTACAGGACATTTCTAAAGAGGGACTTCAATTCCTGATGGGCCATGGTGGTTAAGTCATGGTCCAGAAAATTCATCTCATTTTTTGACACACTGGTAGCTAACCACTTACCGCTTATGCTCACATTTATTTCCAAAGTCCCAGTGTTCAGGTAGAATAGATTAAAAAAACACTACTGCTGTGGCCCCCAGCCTAATGCTTCTTCATCAAGATGCCGCCGTTTCCAGATACCTGGAGGATGTCAGCCTAAGCACAGGATTCACCTGTACAGTGAACTATGGGCAGGTTCACTTGGTCTTGCCGGGCTTCACTTCATACCCCAACTGCCTTCTCTGGAAAGGCGGCATGACTGCTAGTGGAGTCCATCACCAACACAGGATAAGTCCTTCCTCATTGAAAGCAGTGGGAAGTTTTCTCTGTTCAACTTTATTAAATCTTCCTTGTTATCTATTATTCCCAGATCAACCAGCTAGTGTCGTACAGGATGAACCTAAGAAAGCAGAGCTTGAGAGATGAAGAAAAACTAGGAGACAAGTGCACTAATCCAGACATAATTTCACCAGAACTGACTACAATGGAGGCAACCAGGAAAGATAAGAAAAAAAAAAAACATATAATCAATAATGTTTAGGAATAATCTAGGCCTCAGAGACTGATTATATGTGAAAGGGAAGTTCACAGATAAATCCCAGGTTTCAAACTTGAGAGTCCTGGGCAAAAGTTGAAGAAGGTTATGACCAGTTGATTTGGGTGAAGCACAGGGAGTTAGAAGGAGAGGGTGACCAAGAAGGCTGTCACCTAAAAAGAGGCGTCCCTCTGAATCAGTCAGTGACAAGATGATATACTGGTATTCTAAAAAAAGGAACTGTTTCTTTTTCATCCTAATAACATTATTATTAAAAACAGCATATCTATTTTAAAATAAATGTATTTAAGTAAAAGAATATTAAGTAAATAATTGTAGGGTGATACGCAAATATGATAAAAAAAAATTATGAAAATGATGCATAAGTAAAACAAATCTGGGAAACATTTTTACAGTGGGAAAAGACTCAGGAATTAGCATAAACTTAAATGGAGTAAAGTTAAAAAGCTGCTTACCCAGTCTTGATCATTGTAGTGACCACTGTTTACTTCCTTGACATAGATGGTACCTTGAAGACTATTGGTCAATTTCTGGAAGAGCCAAGACTCCTTCTTTCCATGAAAATCTGTCTTCTCTTCCCAAAATTGCAATTAGGGTTAAAACTAAAAGCTCTCAAGAGAACTGGTGATATAGCTCAGTTGCAGAGCACTTGCCTAGCATATGTGAGGCCCTCGGTTTAATCCCCAATGCCAGAAAGAAAAACAAATAAATAAAGCCCACAAAAAAAATACGCTGTCTTTTCTTAAAGGAATAAAACTATTGAGGCCCTTTTGCAGGGTGAACCCTGGGCCCATTGCTTCACACTCGCACATCCTCAACTCCTCTAACTCTGTTTACAACAGTTTTCCCCCTTTGAAGATACCTGCTTGTGGACTTTTGATTTTCCTGGAGGCTGTCTACCTTGCAAAGGTTTACTTGATGGCTCTGCTGTCTGTATTCGTGACATATCCTGTGCTCCAAATAACATGCTTCCTGTTTCTGAGCCTTCCCATTCTGGTATAGCTTCCTGTTCAATCTGGAAAATACTTGACACATCTTGCAAGGGCTCCTCAAACATTGACTGGGGGAAAAAAAAAGGTAAAATTACAAGAATGCTCTTTTTTACCAGTCCTTCTAAAGTCTTCAGTTTTGCAACATTTTCTGACAACCAAATGAATATGAAAATGCATGTTTGAAATGTAGCAGAGGTGGTCAGTTTCCTCTACAAACTGACTTGAGAAAAATGTGAAGCTGGCAGATTGTTTTCCCTGGCTCTTATCTCAGAAAATATACCAACTCTCCAATTATTAGGCACAAACTCAGGAAATAACAAGACTCAGATCTTACCCTGGCACCACCTAGCACTCACACAGTGTCAAACCAGTGTACCTTCCACAAAAGGCACTGCAGACAGTTCTATTCATTATCCCGCTTGCCTCTTAGGTCAGCCTGGAGTCCACTGTCCAAACCTGAGGTTCTAAGAGTCTCAGAAGCAGGCTTCCTGCTTAGGCAGCTGCTCTTTCAGAGCTGGCTTAAGTTCCAGCAAAAGACCTGAGCCCGATGCCTCAGGAAGGCTATCAGATACCATAGATCTCTCCCACACCCAGTTAAAAATTTCTCATAAAATGTTACTCCTATGCTTTGTGTTCTTTAAAAATATAAGTTGAGTGCTGTGGCGTGTGCCTAAAATTCCTGCAGCTCAGGAGGCTGAGGCAGGAGGATTGTAAGTTCAAAAACAGCCTCAGCAAAAGTTGAGTTGCTAAGCAACTCAATGAGACCTTGTCTCTAAAGAAAACACAAAAAAAAGGGCTGGGGATGTGGTTTGGTGGTTGAGTGCCACGAGTTCAATTCCTGGTACCAAAAAAAAAACAAAAAACGTCCCACTACCTGATGTTTCTCATCAAATCCAAAGGAAATTATCTATATGGCCACATTTGGGTAATAATTAACTTTGAACCAAAATTATTTGGGATTATGAAGCACAATGGCAGTTAAAATTCATTACCTCAATTTAACAAATGATAAGACTAGTCTGACTTACATAAAAGCCCTAATTACATAGAAATGACTTTAAGATCAACTGTATCTTTTTTGTTCCTTGGATATATACATTTGCTAATAAGAAAATAAAGGATAACAGATTCCACACAATACCAAATAGTACATAAATTTCTTTGCTGTACAAGAAGAGATACCTGGACCAAGAAGTTTCAGTTTTGTAAAACTAGCTTTAATCCTGAGCTCATGTTTTTATAAAGTTACAGGCAATGAAAAGACTAAGAACTTTTTACCCACATGGGACTGAATTCAAGTCCTGGATCAATGAAAAGATGTTTGATCTTGGTGGACTTAAAAAAACCTTTTCAGCCTTATTTTCCCCAAAAGAAAAAAAAAAAAAAAAAAAAGATTAATAAGACTCTTTTCATGCAAAGGCAAAGTAGATACGGTGATACGGTGAGGTCACAAATGTTAGGGGCCTGCTGCTGTATTTACTACCCATAATAAACTCACTCATTTTATGGACCATAGTTTTGGGCATTGTTAACCATTCCCTTTCTTTTGAATTTCTCTCCTCTTGGCTTCCTCCACACACTCTCCCAGGATTATGATTTGGGAGAAGAAACAAATGAAAGTAACACTCACTAAATTAGAAAATGGAAGAAGAACATCTTGAAAGGAGGGCGATTCCAACTGCAGTTCCCTCTCTTCAGGACTCCACCTGCTTCAATCCTCTACAAAGCCTTTCCTGACCCTGTAACTCCTCTGTATGAGCATGTATTGCACAGTATTACAATTGCCTTAGCAATCATCATCACCCAGTTGAAAATTTCTCATAAAATGTTACTCCTATGCTTTGTGTTCTTTAAAAATATAAGTTGAGCTCGGTGGCACGTGCCTGTAACCCTGCCGCCAACAGATGTGAGTACTAGTGCATCTAATTTTAATATTCGGTGCATCTCCATGAAATAAGACCTGTTGGTAACTCCATTTATAGATGAGAAAATGGGCCTTCAAAAGTTTTATAACTTGCCCAAGGCCATACTTTGGGTTAAGTATCAAAGCTTTGTTTAAACCTAGACAACCTGATTCCAAAGTATACTTTCTCAACCTATTTCCCTTTCACCCAATAGACTAGTCATTCTCAAAATGTGGCCCACAGATTCCTTACAGTCTTTGAGATATTTTCAAGGGGACTACAATGTCAAAAGGACATTCAAATGTTAAGATGTCGTTTACCTTTTTCACTGTGTTAAAATTTTCACAGATAATGGTAAAGCAGCATTGGATAAAACAGTGGACCAATACTTATTAAATGATTAATGCATGAGGTCACAAATATCATCCAGAGTAAAAGATTAGCTCAAAAAGCAAGATGGAGCAATGGATTTAATGTAAGGATATGCAACAAGTTCATATATCTGGTTTCCGATTCTACATTGCAACTAATCTTTAAGAAACCAGCACTTATGGAGTTTTAGTACATTAACAAAGGAGAATATCCACAATAATATTAGAAGGCCATTAAAATATGACTCCCTTTCCAATCTGCATGAGGCCAGATTTTTTAAATATATTTCAGTCAAAATAACACATTGCAAAAGATTAAATTCAGGAGCAGATATGAAAATCTAGCTCTGTTACAATCAGACATTAGATTTGCAGAAAATGTAAGACAATACTACTCTTTTCACTCAAACCTATTATTTATGTTTTCCTAAAAACTATTCTTTTATGTTAACATATTATGATATAGAACTGGAATATCATCTAAAGTCTTATGTGTTCAGAGACTACAATTGCTGAGTAGCTACTAATTTTGCCACATGGTAAGTCTGAAGGCAGGGAATAGTATGTAAAGGGGGAAAAGACATGGTTTCAACCAGAAGCATCTCAAACGCTAGTAGTTCTACCATTTGTGGTGACTCTATATTATAGAACCCATGGCTTTAGCAAAAAGATTCACATGCTTCCTGAACACAATATGTTATCATAAAATGAAGTGTGATCTCAATTTTTATGTATCTGGGGTCACAGTTTCAAAAACTAAAGGAGCTTGCCATTTAGTGATATAATTTTATGAGACCTATGTAAAGGAACTGATCATCATGCCATCTTTTTTATTTAATTCTGAATTTTTGTATACAAGGAGACACTTCTCATTCACAGGAAATATGTTCCAGATTGCTTGGAATCCCACAATTATTTTGTCAATGATGGCCAAAAAGCAAGTTGTATTTCTGAAACAAACTTGTCACCCATAGTCCAGATTCAGAACAACATTCTCCCCTTGTCAATGCTTTTAACAATTCTTCTAGCCAACTACAGATTAAAGTAATGCTTTCTTAGAAGTCAAAAACTTTTTATTAATTCTCCAACTACATTCTATATCTGAATGGCTTTAAACCAGAAAAGCTGTTAAAAACTTTTTCCTTCTTAAAAGAATATTGGGCCTTAGCACAAAAGGTCTATGATAGTCAGCCACAGTGAGCCAAGGACAGCACTCCTCACAGAGTGTTGTATTAGATATGCTCATACTTAAATGCACCTCTAGAATATTTTGAAGGAAATCTTTTCAAACTCTCTATAAAAACATTAAGCAACAAATCCCACTCCTCAGTTTATACCCAAAGGACTTAAAATAATCATACTACAGTGACGCAGCCACATCAATGTGTATAGCAGCTCAATTCACAATAGCTAAACTATGGAACCAACCTAGGTGCCCTTCAACAAATGAATGGATAAAGAAAATATGGTATATGTGCACAATAGAATATTACTCAGCCATAAAGAAGAATGAAATTATGGCATTTGCTGATAATTGGATGGAATTGGAAACTATCTGGCTAAGGGAAATAAGCCAATCCCCCCCCCCAAAAAAAAAAGTCCAAATGTTTTCCCTGATATGCAGATGCTAATTCACAATAAGGGACAGGTGGAGAAGAATAGAAGTACTTTGGAATAGATAAAGGGGAATGAAGGGAAGGGAGGGGAAATGGGAATAGGAAAGACAGTAGAATGGAGCAGGCATTACTATCCTATGGGTACATATGATTACACGACCAATGTAATCCCACATCAACCAGAAGAATGAAAAGTTGTGCTCCATATATGTATAACATGTCAAAATATATTCTACTATCATGTTAACTAATAAGAACACATAAAAATATGCATTAAAAAAACAAGAGATAGGCTACTACTTTAGTATGGGCAAGGAGGATTTTTCTTAAACACTTTACCACTTGAGGTTCCTCAACACTGATCTGTAACTCTTGTTCTGCCTCCATCTGAGATGATTCTGCCTCAGTCCGAGGTGTTTCTTCTTCCGCCCGAGGTGCTTCTGCTTCCAGCTCAGTGGTTTTGGGGCCCAGTTTTCCCATTAAAGAAATATCCTTGAAGGGAGAAGAGGAAACAAAGCAATGCCAATTTTAAAAACCACTGAAATTCATTATTCCATATACAAAAATATCAGCTGAGTTATACAATAAGTGAGAAATGCGTGAGGAAAGTTCAAACTACTCAATAACAAGCAGTAAACAAAAAATACAGAAAAAAATATTTTTTGTCTATTCTTTCAATTTATTGCCTTTTGGTTTGTTGATCTCGATAGACACATTATTAGATTTAATAAGATAATTAGAAAATGTATCACCTATTATAAAAATGCTCCCATTAAGTCAAATACTGTAAAACACTGAATAAGAAAATTAAAAATCAAACCTAAAATTTAATCTAACCAAAAGCAAAAAGGAATATATTTTAAACTTCACTGGATATAACTGTTAGTGTTATTTTTACCACTATTAATGCCAATTGCAATGATATATTCTAATCAGTTGAAGTGCTAAGAATATAGCACATTATAAAGATTATAATGAACAAGGAATAAAGAAATGCTGATTCTCTGCGAATCATATATCCATCCACAGAGGAGGCATCAATGGGCAAGTTATTTTTCTTCTCATCACCTCAAATTTATCATCCTTAAAATGGGCATTCAACTATGACTTCCTAAGACCCCCTTTTATCCATCAACTTTTTAGTAATATCAATAGAAAAACTGGAATATCCATTATGCTTTAAAACTGTTGCTTTTCTTCTTTTTCTTTATTACTTTTAAGGATTCAACTTGGGCCATTGGCTTCTACTTTACCCCTTTGCTATATGTAACTATAAAACTAGACAAAATATAAGAATAACTCTTTTAGGAATGGTCAGCAGAGAAGATGCTTGCAGAAGAAAACAACAGTGAACTTGAAGGCTTTACAGAAATGAGCAAGATCCCATTTATTGATTCTTTATTTTATTTCTTGTGTTTTAGGAGGCTTGTTAAGTAAGTCGGAGCCTAATCCACCATGATGAGATTTGGGCCTACTTTTTCTTCTGTTAGGTACAGGGTCTCTAGTCTAATCCTTGATCCATTTGGAGCTGAGTTTTGTGCATGATGAGTGATAGAGATTCAATTTCATTTTGCTACTTAGGGATTTCTAGTTTTCCCCATTTGTTGAAGAGGCTATCCTTTCTCCAATGTGTGCTTTTGGTGCCATTGTCTAGTATGAGATAACTGTATTTATACGGGTTTTCTCTGTGTCTTCTATTCTTTACCATTAGTTTATATGCGGATTTTGGTGCCAATGCCATGCTGTTTTTGTTACTATAGCTCTGTAGTATAGTTTAAGGTCTGGTATTGTGATGCCTCCTGCTTCACTTTTCTTGCTAATGATTGCTTTGGCTATTCTGGGTCTCTTATTTTTCCAAATGAATTTCCTGATTGCTTTTTCTTGTTTTATGAAGAATATCATTGGGATTTTAATAGGAATTGCATTAAATCTGTATAACAGTTTTGGTAGTATGGCCATTTTGACAATATTAACTCTGCCTATCCAAGAACAAGGATGATCTTTCCATCTTCTAAGGTCTTCTTCAATTTCCTTCTTTAGTGTTCTGAAGTATTCATTGTAGAGGTCTTTCACCTCTTTTGTTAGACTGATTCCCATGTATTTTATATTTTTTGAGGCTATTTTGAATGGGGTGGTTTTCCTAATTTCTCTTTCTGTGTATTCATCACATGTATAAAAATTCATTTGATTTATGGGAATTTTATTTTATATCCTGCTACTTTGCTGAATTCATTTATTGGTTCTAGAAGTTTTCTGATGGATTCAAACTAAAAAGCTTCTTCTCAGAAAAAGAAAAAAGGAAAGAAAAAGAAAAAAAATCAATGAGGTGAAGACAGAGCCTGCAGTATGGGAGCAAATTTTTACCACATGCACATCAGATAGAGCAAGCACAAATCTCCAGTATATATAAAGAACTCAAAAAAACTTAATACCAAAAACACAAACAACCCAACCAATAAATAGGATAAGGAACTGAACATACACTTCTCAGAAGAAGATATACATGCAATCAACAAATTTGTGAAAAAGTGTACAACATCTTTAATAATTACATAAATGCAAATCAAAACTACTCTAAGATTTCATCTCACCCCAGTCAAAATGGCAGTTATCAAGAATACATGCAATAATAAGTGTTAGAGAGGATGTGGGGGAAAAGGTACACTCATATATTGCTGGTGGGACTGCAAATCAGTGCAACCACTTTGGAAAACACACATGTGGAGATTCCTCAGAAAACTTGGAACAGAACCACCATTTGACTCAGCTATCCCATTTCTCAGTTTATACCCAAAGGACTTAAAATCAGCATACTATAGTGACATAGCCACACAAATATGGATAGCAGCTGAATTCACAATAGCTAAACTGTGGAACCAACCTAGATGCCCATCAATAGATGAATGGATAAAGAAACTGTGAGATAGATAGATAGAGAGAGAGAGAGAGAGAGAGAGAGAGAGATGTATATACACATACACACACTCACACACACACACACATACACACTAGAATATTACTCAGATTAAAAGAGAATAAAATTGTAGCATTTGCAGGTAAATAAATGGAGTTGGAGTATATTATACCAAGTGAATTAAGACAATCCCAAAAAATTAAAGGCCCAATGTTTTCTCTGATTAGTGGATGCTAATATATGATGGGAAGGGACAGGGCATGGGAAAAATGAAGGATCTTTGGATTGGGCAAAGGAGAGGGTGGGGAAAGGTTATGAGGGTAGGAAAGATTGTGAAATGAGATGGATATCATTACCCTAGGTACACGTATGATTGCATGAATGGTACGTCGCTACACCATGTACAACCAGAGAATTGAAATGTTGCGCTCTATTGTGTATGATGAATTGAAATGCATTCTTCTGTCATGTACAACTAAGTAGAACAAATTTAAAAAATATATTTTTTAAAATAAATAAATAAATAATTTTTAAAAGAAGCAAAGTCAATCATGAAAGAAATAAAAGTAAAATCAAATGTACAAATTCTCAGCCTAATATATACTTTAATTGGAGTCTCAGAAAGGTGTTGGATGAGATCTGAAAATATTTGCACAAAAAATATTATCAAAACTTTTCCAAATTTTAAGACAACTATAAACCCCCTGATACAAGAAAGTCAATAATTAACAAGCAAAAGCACACAAAGAACACTGCATCAGATACATATTACTTTATTAATGAAAACATGGAATAAAAATATTTTAGTCATGTAGAGAAAAGAAGAAAGCTGAAGTACAAGGAAACAAAGAATCATTGGCCACTAATTACAACAAACTCCAGATTTCTTACCATAACTCTGCAAGCCAGAAGACAAAGAAGCAACACATTCAAAACCCCAGTACTGAGAGAAAATGACTGTCCACACAAAATTTTATATCCAGCAAAAATATATTTCGAAAGTCAAAATTACAGCAAGCAAAAAGTGAAGAAAATCCATTGCCAATCAGGGGTAATGATGGCAACAGAGTGGTTACATTAACATGAGACACAGTAGTCTTAGCCAGGAGAAAGAGGATCATTTCCCAACAACAAAAGGGTCAAGGAACTCAAAAGACTAACAATACTCACAAAATGAAAACAGATGCACACAAAAATACTACTATAGTTGGAAACTTCAAGCTGAGACCACCTGGCTCAAGAGTTCTCATTCTTCATGACTATGCTAACGGGATAATAAATGTAAAACCCCATCTGTAATTCTTTAAAACATTTTAGGTTTATAAATATATCATTAAAGTATAAAAACATAAAAGTGATAAACACCAAATAGAATACTGCTTACATCTGAGGAGGGGAAACAATTATTGGAGGAGCTATAAAGGGGGCCTGTGTTTTACTTGTAATTTTCTATTTATTTAAGCAATATGAAGTAAATATGATAAAACATTAAATTTCCAAAACCCTGAAATTTGAAACATTTGAAATATTTCATAATAAAAATACTTCAAAGAAAATTTTCAATACATTTTAGAGGGTAATATTATAATAATGTCAAAAATAGATTTAAAATACCTCAATATAGAAACCTACAATTTACCTCACTGTGAACATAAATGCATAAGTCCCAAATAAAATATTTGCAAATTAATCCAAGCCATTTATTTAGAAATAATACAGTTTGACAAAGGGAAATTTTCCCAGAAGAATGTAGACAATTCATTATAATTTCTGATATTAAAAATGAATGAAAAGCTATACAATATTCTCAACAAATGCTTAGAAAAAATTATCAATAAATTCAATGTTGATTACTGAATAAAAAGAAACTAGAAACAGAAGAAAAATTTCCTAATCCCACAAGAGATATCTATAGAACTCTGCACCAAACATTGTAATTCATAATAGGACATTAGTCAGACGAGATCCAATGCAATAAGAAAAAAATAATAGGTGGTATTAAAAAACATCAAAGAGAAGAACAAAATGTCACTATTAATAGATTATGTGACCTTATATTTGGAAGGAAAAAAGAAAATCAACTGAATAACTATCAGACCAAAGTAGAGGTTAAAAGCAAACTCAACAAATAAAATTTCACACAAGCAATAACTAGTTAGGATCCCATTCTCAAAATAAAAATGAGCAGTCTACGGGTATAGCTCAGCGGTGGACACCTCGCCTAGCCTAGAACATGCATGAACAGTGTTTGATCCTAGCCCCACCAAAAAAAGTAAATAAATAAATATGCCCACATAAGAAAGGCCAAAGACAGTACATTGAACTAGGATAAAATGGCCTGAGAATAATGAAAAACAGCCTCTCCTGATTTCCCAATAAATATGAAGACAAAAGCAATGAAAGCAAGTATTGGTCTAGTTAAGTCCAATGTTTAGGCTTCTTCAAGGACAGTTTCTGTTCATTGCTTTTTTCTGTGTATGGGCTATACTTATCATACTTTCTTGTTTATTTGCATGTGTCATAATTTAGTGTTGAAAGATCTGTAGCAACCTATAGAGCATTTATTCAAAATAAATTA